TCTCATTTACACAGCCACAAATAGCTGTGAACTTAACAGGCTGTGCTGCTTTTTTGGCAATAGATATGACTGGTAATATTGTTGTGTTATCTTCTTTTCCCACTAATGTTTGTATTGGTTTTGTGAGGAGCTAGAGCTGGCATGTTTTTCTTTTTCTTTTTCTTTTTCTTTTTCTTTTTCTTTTTCTTTTTCTTTTTCTTTTTCTTTTTCTTTTTCTTTTTCTTTTTCTTTTTCTTTTTCTTTTTCTTTTTCTTTTTCTTTTTCTTTTTCTTTTTCTTTTTCTTTTTCTTTTTCTTTTTCTTTTTCTTTTTCTTTTTCTTTTTCTTTTTCTTTTTCTTTTTCTTTTTCTTTTTCTTTTTCTTTTTCTTTCTTTTCCTTTTCCTTTTCCTTTTCCTTTTTCTTTTCTTTTTTTTTTCAAGATTTAAAGAGCTGGCAGAATATTTATTCAGTTGTGCAACCTTCATGCAGAGTATTTCTCAGATCCTAGACATGGGACTCATTTTTTTGTCCTTTAACAGTTGCTGTAAATCAATAAGGCAGTTGGAGGTCACTTGTAGTCAATCAGTAACCAGAGCCCACTAAGGGGAAAACACTAAATATTTGATATGAAAACATGGGCTCTAAACTTGAAGTTCTCGCTCAGGGTGACATTCTCACAGCTGTGCCCAGCAGGATCAGCCTGGCTGGTGCGCAGCACCTCCAACACCAGCTCTGCCTGGCGCAGGCACCTGGGCGGAGGGTTGGTGCCCACCTGGGCCCTGAGCTCTTTGGGACACCTGGGCCTTTAGAAATCTTGTTGTGAAAGCCCTCAGTGTAGTTATTCAGTTGGGCCATAATTTTTTTTTGTTGTAATTTCGTGCTGTGTGTGCACACCACAGCAATTACAGCGGGCAGGTGCCCAGGTTGCTTCAGGCGGAGGAAGTGAGACTCGTGTTGCAACGTGCCAGTCTGGCGTCAGCTCCCTTGGGCTGGAAGGTGCACGGCCTTGGGTTCAGCCGCTTCCCTTAGCGACCAAGACCCATGACTGGGCAGCAGTTCTCACAGAGGCCCCTAACTCCTTTTGCTACAGCTGGACGCTGAGCTCTTGAACAGCTTTGCCGCCTAATTCATATTCCAGTGGGGTCATCATTTCCCTTTGCTTCGCTTCTGTAGCTGGTTTCCCATACAGACTTTAGCCTGACCTCATCGCAAACTCTTGCAGCGAGAATTCTCTCCGTTTCGCCTTTCCATTGACCTTAGGGGCTCTGGGTATAGTGGAGATGCAGGATCCTATCTCTGAGTAGTGATCCAGACATCTCGCTGAGCGTGTTGTCTCAAAGCCCTCATACCCTGTGCTCCAAGCAGTGCTGGGTCCTGCAATCTGGACGTGGTCTGCCAGGTCCCCATACAGTAGCTCCTGCCATCACTTTTGCTGGTGTTTTGTCGCTCTGCTAATAGAGCTCCACTGCACAGATGGTTTGCACAACAACCTATGACTCATTTCAGATACATATGTTGGACGGTTTCCACTGAGCTCTAACTGCAGGGTGTGCGGCTAAACGTGTTGCACTTTTCCTCTTCACTCCAGACTGGGAGGTGGTCAGGTATCTTTGGTGCCGGTCGCTCTTTACTTGCCCAGGTCTTCTCCCAGCTCCCCAGAGGGTGACCACCAGATCTCCCTCTGCATCCGGAGCTCCTGGCGAGCTCTTGCAGAACTCCATCTCCACTTTCCCCATCTCCTCCTGCCTCAGTGCCCCACTGGGTCATTTGGGCTGCAAAGGTGAGCTCAGTGGTTGTCCTTAAACTTGCAAATCTTCTCCTCTGCTCCAAATCTGCCTTGCTCTGGCCCAGCTCAACCCCTGCCCTGCCTCTCTGGGACCTCTGTGCAGCGTCTAGTTACCGGAGTCAGCTCAGCACAGCTAAAACAGACCTTCCTTCTTGCTCTGTCCTTTCCCAGCATCTGCAGAAAATGCTGCTCCTCTGGTCACACACAGCAGTGAGCTTTGACTCACTTGCCTTTGCCTTTGGCCATTCTTCTTTCCCTGGCTTTTCCCTGCCTGTCACATCCCACAGAAGCTGCTTGGCTCCCCTGGGGGCAACGCTCCCACCTAGTGTCTCAAGAGAGGAAGAGAAACCAAGCAACCTTTTCACTTTCTCTCTGTCCTCTCATATTTTTAATATAAAATTTCAAATGCTGGCATTTCCTTCCAGTTTTCTGACAGCCTTATGGTTGCTCTGTTGAGAGACAGGCACCCAGGGGAGTAGAACACAAAATTCACTGTATGAGCAATACGTAGGGTTTTTTTTTTTTTTTTTCCCAGTCGGGAGCTGCACACAAGCATGCATTAATCTAGCAGAGGTTTTAACTACGTCCTTTAGCACTTCGCCCTGTGCACAGTCTTCCTGCAGGTTGACTGACTGGTCAGACCTGAATTTTAGGCTTCTTAAGGTTTTGTCAGTGACTGAACTAAAATGTTGCCATTGAGTAAAATATTAACTCCAAGTTGGGAAGGAGGTGGGGAGGCTATGGTTTGGGTTCAGTCACGTGTCAAGTACAGCACTTCCCGAAGGACCAGGATGTCTCTTGTCCTGGTGACCAGGGCTAGAGGAGGGAGGGCCAACGGGACATGGGTGGCACTTGGTCCTGCAAGCCCCATGTCAGTAGCGGGGTCACTTGTCACCCACAGCACTAAGCTCTAGAAGGGATCAGTCATATTCCATACTGGCCTTCTCTGCATGACCTGAACTGGTGGTTGATGTCCCTGGTGGCCAGCTAGGGACCGAGCTCTTTCCTCTTGCCATGGGGCTGCTTTTCTGGTCGTGAGCTGGTCCCAGGTGTCCCTACATCACCTGTGTCCTCAGGGATGTAGGGTGACCTGTTCGGTGCCAGCCAGGGCTGCACTGTCAGATACAGTTTGGTATCATCAGCAAACTTGCTGAGGGAGCACTTTGTGCCTTCATCCAGGTCATTGATGAATAAATTGAACAGGACTGGACCAAGGACTGGCCGCTGGGGGACACCACTAACCACAGGCCTCCAACTAGACTCTACGCCCCTGGAGTCACAAGGTTTGACTGAGGAAGGTTTTTTTTTTGAAGTGCTCTGAGTCCCTGTGGTGAACTCAATCATGCACCATGTGCTCCTGGTCAACGTGATCCTTACACAGCATCCACCTGGTTGGGTTGAAGGGCTCTGCCTGCCCAAAGGCGCTGGGAGATAACACAGCAGTGTTGGGTCTTACACACCCTGGCTATGCTGTGCTGAGTATGAGATACCCTTCAGTAAACTGCTTACGTGTTTACTCAACATTGAGAACATGCTCCAGTCCTGTGGCCTTCACTGGTAGCAAAAATTAAGTGTGTTTTTTTCAGATCTAAAGCTTAAGCACTGCAATATGCTGACTGGAAAAGAAAGGAATTGAGTGATATTTGCTCTTAGTTGTATTTGCATCTCAGATCTTCTGGAACAACTGGGTACGAGTCTCTAGAGCCACTCTGACACTCCCACACTTGCAAAATGTGTTCCAAAAACTGTAGTTTGCGGGAAAAAAAGAAGTGTTTATTAAACCTTCATCCTCTGATGTCTCTGCATTAAAAAGTACAGAAAATGCCACTTATTGACTGCTTGAAAAACAACATGAGAACCATAGAAGAAGTGGCACTTACCATGGCTAATAGTCCAGCTGTGGTGCTAAATGTCCCAGGGGCAGCAGGATTGGCAGCTCTCAGCTCCAGAGCGTAGTTGTCTCAAGAATACACACAAATGTTATAAATCTTCAATTGGAATTATTCGCACATCCACTTAGGAAGGGTAAAACAACAAAAAAGTCAAACAGGAATTTTGTTGGCCAGCAGCTTATGGAGGGTCCTCTCCCTTGCACCCAGCCTGTTGGTATAGAGGGATACAGGGAAGCAGGGATTTGGACACACCTGGTGTGTTCACCAGTACAACACGAGACCCCAGAACACTCTTGCTGTCGCTTGTATTTCCTCGCTGCAGCCTTTGCTGATGTACCAAGGTCTGCAGGTTTTGGGGTTTAGAGGCTTGCACCTAGTGCTGAAGCCCAGCAGTCCCCTTCGCCCAGCCCAGCCGGTCACCACCTGACGCGCCCGTGCCAACGCACGCGCTGCCCGCGGGGCGCCCGCCAGCGAGCCCGTTAGATGGCACCATGGAGTAGCTCCCACGGCACCCTGTGCTGAAACGTCCCTCGACACAGACCCAGCCTTGAATCGGCCTTTTGTGCTGGGCACAGAGCTCCCGGCCCTGCCGCAGTGACTCCCGAGCCCCGCGAGCAAGGAGCGTGGTAGCGATCAGGATGGCCACGTCGCGCTCACCCCATCCCTCTGCAATGACGCTCCTTTGCAGAGCCAGGGTTTTTTCCCAGGATCAGCCTTTTCTTTATTTAAGGATTGTGCATAGGCAAACATTACATTTTTGGACACACAAATGTTAAAATGATTGATCCAATGTGTGCGCACATGCTCTGATGAACGTCTCTAAAGAGTGTGCGCTGTGTGTGTCTGTGCATTTGGGTTTCCAAAGCCCTGCATTTGTGCATGTGTGATGTAGTCCATAGGTTGTGTAGTGCACTTTCCTATTTTAAATTCTGTCCTGACTGCTCTCGTTTTATTCTCTTACCTCTAGAGTCAGGGATGCTGATGAAATTAAGCAATAGAGCATTTTTAAAGAAAAAAGGAAAAAAAAAAGACATCTTACAGCATGTGGCCTAGAACTTCCTAGTATTATACAAGCAATATATTGATTAAAGCAAAAATAGGAAAGTCCAATGGAATGAGGACATTTGCTGACATTATTCTTATGGCAGAAATGTTTGTCATAAGGAATGAGACTGCCTTGGGCTTTTACATGGACGTGTCATCCTAAGTGGGAGTTTTTCTGTGACAATTTTTTGGGTTGCAAGGTAGATAGCCATTGCCATTCAAAACCCAAGTACAATCCAAAGAAAATGGCTAGGAAAGAAATCAATTAAAATGAGCAAATTCATAATGCATAAATTGGTTGAATGTGTACAGTTGTAAATATAGACAATAATTTACAGGCTTTTCTCTTCAAGCATATTAGTGCTGCTATGAGGAGACAAGAGCGTGACTTACCATAACATTTCCATACTGTAAATGAGACAAATTAAGTTGACATTATATGTTACTTAGCTGTGTACCAATTAGCTACACAAATGCTACGAATTCCGTCATTTATGATGGAAACTACATAAAAATTGTGTAATTACTGCAGTGAGTCATCTAGCTAATTGGCACTCCTATATGGGAAAAAAATTATTTCAATGCAAGATTAATAGCCTTTTGCTGCTGTTTTACGTGCTTGCCAAAGACCATACTACATTGTTGCTAAGCATGATTAATGGGTTAAAATAAGGATTCTGCATAATTCCTACAGTGTATCTTCAAATCGGTTGTTTAGTTTGTGCACTAGCCTAGCGGTTGTTAGCCCTACCTAAGGCACGGGTCTGGAAGACTGACACATGTGAAGAAAGTTAATGTAATCCTAAGAACTCTTTCAAAAGCTCACACGTTTTCTTGTGGATGACTTCACGGAGCTTCCGTACGCGCCGGATGCTGGAGGTCCCCACAAAGCTGTCTGGCTGTAGGACAGCCATGCCATTGTGGACATCACCCATGATGATGAGCTGGCCATCCACTGTGGTCATGTTGGGACATGGGCAGCTCCAGTCCATGTTTAAAAGCGTGATTTCTAGTGGTTCCTTCCCCAGGAATTTTAATCCCATTTTTTCATCTTTGAGAATCTCCTCCACTGTCACCAGGGCATGTCCTGAGTCTTGGTCTTCGGTCAGTTCTGTTATACGGCCCAGGATAACAAAGTCACTCTTGCAGAAGCTTGTCACCAGCTTCTGCCGTGGTTTGCAAGCTTTGCAGTGCGTGTTCTTTGGGAAAGGGCACATCTCTTCACAGGCCTCCCTGCTTTCGAAGTTGTTCTCGTTACCTCCACAGCCACCATAAATGAAGGACTGGCATTGCCTTGTCAAGCTGTTGTAAGCCCATCTAGGCTCATAGGCCTTGCAGTGACCTTGGAGGGCTGGCAGATTGCAAACGTTGATCGGGCCGTTCATGCATGTTAGCATACAGTTCTCATAGGTTTCAAAGTGGTTAAGGTTGCTGTTGCAGTTTCCGTAGATGAAAGTAAAGCAGTTGTTTTTCTTCGCATCGTAATACCACCTGGTCTGCTCTTCTCCGCAGTCTTCGCTGTCCGGTTGCTTCAGGCACTCATCTGTTGGAAAATGTGTTTTGTTTTGGGAAGCTGCTTTGGATGTGGATTCTCCTTTGATGACTGACAAGGGGAAGTCAGCCCGGAGGAGGCCACCACTGTTTCTTGCAGTGCAGGTGTAGATGCCTGCATCTTGGAGCTGGGTGTTGTAGATGACCAGCTGGGCAATGTTGGTAACCACAACATTTCCTCTGACATGATTTGGCTTCATCACGACTTTTTCTTTCCCATCAACCTGCTTTTCCCATGTGATTTCTGGCTTGGGTCTCCCTGTAACGTCACAGAGGAAGCTCACAGTCTCTCCCACATAGACTGACTGGTGGCTGGGATTGTTCACCAGCACGGGTGGCAAGGTATCAACGATGGTTGTCTCTGAATAGGCAGTAGTAGGGCGAGCTGTTGTTTCTGGTGGGATAGGACTGGTGTTTGGCCAGGTGAGATGGTATCGGCAGGTGACAACGTTCAATGTAATGCCTTTGATGCAAGCTTCTGCATCCATGTAGCACTTGTTATAGTAGGTGAGTCCGTCGGAGGCACAGGTGAAGCTTGGCTCCTTCTCACACCTGTCCTTGCACTTGCACACGGGTTGTCCATCCCAGATGTCGCACTCTGAGCCTTGCTGGATGCACATGAAACGGTCGCAGGTTGCCTCTTTGGGCATCCCCACCGGCCCTTTTTTGCCCTTGACATCCATGTACCGCGCCGCCACGCAGCTCTTCGTCCCACAGACATTGGGACAGCACTTCTCAAAGGTTTCGCACTCCTGAGGGCAAACAGAGCAACCCGATCGTTAGTGGGGATAGGGAACCAACAAGCAGAGCGCATGGAACCTCTTCAGGCTCCTAGCACAGAGGACCCACTTCTGCTGCAGGTCTCTCTCATATCCCAGGGTCCAAAGCTGAGTTTCCCCACCAGTAACAAGCACAACACTTGGCCATGTAGGTGGCAGGTGGCTAAGCACACTGAGGTTTCTGAAATGCTTTAAGAGAAGACCCTAGAGAAGGGACAGGCATTGCTTTTTTTCTTAAGCACTAAATTCATCGTAAGTCTTTCATAGAGTCACATGGACAGCTTGACCACCGAGCTAACGACCCCCCTCCCAGCACCCTCTGAAATGCCTGAGGACAAGCCCTGAGAAACAAGAGTGGATGGAAAGTCTTATCATATGGCTGTAGGCAGTAATCCTTCTTATTTTCCACAAAGGTATGTAAAGTATTATTTGAATTCCCCAAGACTAACAGCACAGTCTTAGAGGCGAAAGTGCCAAGCACTTGTAATTGTTCACATTGTAGAAGAAATAGAAAATCTTAGAATTAAGGAAATTCTTGTTCCCAAAATAATTTGTTTTCTGTGGTATTTAGAAAAACAAACCCAAAACAGCTCATTATGGTTTCTATGTCCTATTTTAGTCTTATTTTCAAATGCAGCCTCTCTATGCCAGTGATTTATTACACCCCATTTTACTTACAGCCAGCTGTAAACTGTGGTTAGTTTTAGCAGAATTTTTGGTTTTCTACACAAAGAAGGTATTTGACACATGTCCGTTAGTATCACAGCTACTGTGTTGTTCATGGATTTCTTTCAGGAACCATGGACACTGCTGTTATATACACAACAGGACAAATGTCTAGCCTGTGTTGAATCTCCACAGCCCCCCTAAAATCCACTGGCTTTCTCTGTAAGTGAGAAAAAAATGTTTTTATAAGCTACCAAGCTGAACAGCTTCTTTTAGTCCTTCCTTACACTGTCCTTCCCTGCACTATAACTCTTTCCCCATT